TTTAATTAGGATTTAGGGTTTAGGGCTAGGCTTCCTGATATTGAGGGTTTAGGGTTTAGGGCAAGTTTAGGGTTTAGGGCTAGGTTCCCCAGTAGCCCCTTAATATTAAGGGTTCTTGTTTTAATGTGCAGTGGAAATAATAAGGGTTTAGTGTTATAAGGGCCCTTTTTTTTAATGTGTAATGGAAATAGTAAGGGTTTAGGGTTTATGGGGTTTAGGGCTAGGTTCCCCATTAGCCCCTTCATAATAAGGGTTTAGGGTTTAGGGTTTAGGGCTAGGTTCCCCGGTAGCGCCCTGATATTAAGGGTTTAAGGTTTAGGGCTAGGTTCCCCAGTAGCCCCTAAATAAGAAGGGTTTAGGGTTTAGGCCTAGGTTCCCCAGGGTACGTCTCTACTATTTGGGTACTTCTCTAAATTAGGGTCCCTTTTGGGGGGGTCCTTTTAAGAAGGGTGCCGTACTTTCTGGAGGACCTAACAAGGCACCTTAATCTAGAGAACTACCCATTTGGTTTAAATAAGGGAACACAAAAAGAACCTAAACCCTAAACCCTAAACCCCTAAACCCCTAAACCCTAAACCCTAAACCCTAAACCCTAAACCCTAAACCCTAAACCCTAAACCCTAAACCAAACAGGGGACTACTGGGGGAACCCAGGAGCGGATCAAACGAGCAGGCTGCCCGTCCACGCTGACAGCCGCACAGCTTCCACAATAGCTCTCCTCCTGGGCGTTTCCGAAAAGAAGGGGTCTAGGGTTTAGGGTTTAGGGTTTAGGGGTTTAGGGTTTAGGGTTTAGGGTTTTTTTTTAAGTGTAGGGTTTAGGGGTTTACGGTTTAGGGTTTAGGGTTTAGGGTACCTTATTTGGGGGTCCTTATAACAAGGACCCTGCTATTTACGGTACTAGATCAGAGTCTCCTATTTTCCGAAAACCTCCTCCTCGTTGTGGTACAGGGAGACTACCATGGGCATTTGCTGAGATGACACGGTGATGTTGAGAGTGCAGGGCGTGGTGCAGTAGACGCCATCACTGAGCATTTTGTAGTCGTACCCCGAGGAATCGGAAGCTGCCCAAACACCGCTGTACCCCGTCAGCACAATCTTTCTGGCCAAGAACCTGTTCCCGCCCCAAATAGCCTCGGACTCGGAGGAATTGGCCACGAGAGCACCATCCAGCCGCCGGCTAGTGCCGCTCACATTGAGCAGCCAAAAGCCATCATCTGTTTTTTCATAGCCATTCAAGTTTGTAGTTGTGAAGTCGAAGTTGTCGCAATGGTCCTCAAAACCTGGCCACTGTGGTGAGCGGTCGCAGTTCATAATGTCACAACATTTCCCGCTGTCACAAGCTTTAAAGCCCCGGCCGCAACAAAGTCCGTAGAAACAATGCACTCGAAAGCCTCCTTGAATTCCGCATTCTTCGGTGCTACCCCAGAATGGGGATTCCATATATGACCGGCAAATGCTTGTCTCTCCGTTTGCTATGAGCATTGATTGCGGTCCTGGTCGCAACCCTTCAGGCAAAATACAGCAAGCGCAGCGACTGCGAGAAGCACTGGCATGCAGCTGTACTTCGGGCTCCCACGACCCCCGGGAAGTGAGCATGTTTCAGCGCCCATAGGTCTGTGAACCCTTGCAGGGCAAGACACTGTGAACAACGCATGTGCATTGGACATGAGATCTAAGAAAATGAGCTCCCTAGCCGGTCACGGCGGCATACATCGTCGAGCGCAAGTAGAGCAGTATATGACAATGGGTCAGGCTTCAAGGCCTTGGAGTTCGAATCTTGAACTCCAAGACCTTGAAGCCTGAGCCATTGTCATATTCTGTTCTAATTGCACCACCCCAGCACGCAATGCTGCACGAAGCCAAAAACAGAGGCACGCGTACCCCAGCTAGTCAATACCGCCGAACGCCAAGGAAAAAAACAAAATGTGGTTCGGTAATTCGGGGTTTAGGGCCCCAATCCCCCAAAACCCACAAGTGGAGCCCACGAAATGTTTCCCAGGGATTCCCAACATGTGCGCTTTCACAATCCATCCTTTGATCAATAACCCGAAACAGCAGTATCCACGTACTTATACTACCCAACTGCGGACAGTGCTTCTCCAAAACACCATCTGCACATCTAAATATAATATATACATACACATATAAATAAAGGTGCCGTACTAGTTTGGGGACCCCAAAAGGGACCACAATTTGGAGAACTACCCATATACGTATAAAGGCTGCCCGGAGGTATTTAAGGTTCAATGTAGGGGCCCCAATAGTTAGAATAGGGTTTTGGGGTCCGTTATACTACAGTTATAGTAAGGACTGATATACATTCAGGCCCCTATATTGCTTGTCCTCATGTAGGCGGGGTTGTCACAGATGTGGTCCCAAGGCCCATAAAGAATTTGGGCCCTACGGTTGATGATGTAACTTCTGCATTACCTTATCTTGACCCTAAACTGCGGGAATTATGGTATGCTCCATTTTCTGGAGAATTCAGGGTTTACATCATCAACCCTAGTGATCCCCAAAGGGTGAAAAATTGCGAAAATGAGGCCTGTTACTTTTCAAGGTTGGCCCCCCAAAGCCTCTGACAAATATTCGTAAACAAGATCCTCTTAAGCCCAATAAGGGAAAACATCAGATGTTCCAAAGGCCTACCTAGTTATAAGTACTAGAACTGTTCCTACTGCTGTTTATGAGTATCATGATGAAGATGTCAACCACTCTTTGTTCACTGTGCCTTCAAAACAACCGCCAAACTTCACCACTGCATTTGCGTGCACAGCCTCGCTCGCAAGCTCCTGGTTCCAAATGATGGGTTGCTTCCAAACGGGTTAGGGTTTAGGGTTTAGGGCTTAGGGCTTAGGGTTGAGGGTTTAGGGTTTAAACCCTAAGCCCCGAACCCAAAACCGCAAGCCCTGAACTGAAGCCCCCTCTGCAACAACTGCCAAGCTGTTGGGAATAGATAGGGGTCAGTATACCCCCAAAAAGGCTAAAGATTCCCTACTCTAGCAGACTCTACTGCTAGGTTGAGCATACGACTCCAATTTCAATTTCAGGGTACATGCGTCTGCTGGCAGTTAAGGTTGCGGCCCTGCTCCCCGCGTCGTTGAAGACGCCCATGGGACGCCAGGCACAATGTGTGCACTTGACTAACTAATGGCTTTCCCAGACCCCCAAAAGGATCTAAAAAATAGATCCCCTAATTAGGGACCCTAACTACTAAAGGGTACTTTATAGGAACCCCTTAGGGGATCTATTTTTTAGATCCTTTTAGGGGCCTGGGTTGCGGCCTATGGCTTGTGCTTCTATCCTTGCGAACTCTTGAAATTGTTGGCTCATCTGCCGCTGCACTGACCCAGAACTCTAAACCCTTAGTGAATTAGAGTTGTGTAGTTTAGGGTCCGTGTAGACAGTCTCCAGTTTCCAGACGAGTACCCCTGAACCTCGGAGGTGATTGCATGAGCCAATCACAACAGATTTGCCAGCAGAGGCTAGGCTACGTCGGGCTTAGCGTGCGGACGACAGAGTGTATGCATGCATGTATGTACGTCAGCATCTTTCTAAGTGTCACTTACACCCAGGCAGGCACAGAAAATTCTACAACCCCACTCCCGCGACCCGCATCAGAGACGGTCGAACATATCTGGAAATGACTGATGTAGGGGCCTAAATAATTGCTGATACTATGGTGGGGGGGGTTCCTTATTCTAAATATAATATACTATACCCCCCTTTTTCACTTAAGGCCACTACCAGTACATTAGTTTGTACCCCAAACCCTAAACCTAAACCCTAAACCCCCAACCCTAAACCCTTAAACACTCGACCCTAAACCCTAACCCCTAAACCCCTACCTAAACCCTAAACCCTAAACCCTAAACCCTAAACCCTAAAACCCTAAACCCTAAACCCTAAAACCCTAAACCCTAAACCCTAAAAGCCCAAAAACCCTAAACCCCTAAATCCCTTAACCCTAAACCCTAAACCCTAAACCCTAAAACCCTAAACCCTAAACCCTAAAACCCTAAACCCTAAGTCCCTTAACCCTAAACCCTAAATGCTGTTTGGGATGCACCCCAGCAGTCGGCTCTGCTGTTTTTCGGCTCACAGCGACGAGCTGAAGGCAGGTCTGGGGCGAGCCTGGCCCGGCAGGCAACCAGGAGGTTTCTAGGTTTAGGGCTTAGGGTTTAGGGTTCCAGAGGTCTAGGGTTTAGGGTTGAGGGCTTAGGGTTTAGGGTTCTAGAGGTCTAGGGTTTAGGGTTTAGGATTTAGGGTTTAGGGTTCTAGAGGTCTAGGGTCTAGGGTTTAGGGGTTTGGGGGTTTAGGGTTTAGGGGTGCGGAATTGCGGGCTTGCAGACTGTATGGCGTGTTAGACGATTCCTTATCCAGTTGACTTGTGTTTGGAGCACTGCCTGTGCGCAAAGCTCAGCCTGAGGACGTTCAAGGGAGTGCCAGGAAATGCACGGCTGATGATCTAAATCCTGCATTACCCATAATAAGGAATTTACCATAATTCCCATAGTTTATGGCCCTTACGGTAATGCAGGATTTATATCATCAACAGTAGTGGCCTGAATAGTACCAAGCTCTAAACCCTAAACAACCATTGCTGTCCCTCAGGGTTCCTCATTACAGCTACTATAGGGGCCTTAATAATTAGAATAGGGTTTTGGGGCTCAGTATACTATAGTTGCAATAAGGAACTCCCAAAATAATATTGGTATGTATTTAGGCCCCTACATTACTTTTGTATAATGGCCCTGTTCTATCTTTTTTCCGGATTTCGGCGCCACAGCGGGCACGAAGAGGCAGACGGCCATGGGCGCAACCCTCGGCCTCTACCCCTAGATTCTATAAAATTAGGAGAAGCCCTGATTTCCGCAAACCTGTATTACGGAACCCTCAAAGCACTGCTAAAACCCTTAACTCTTAACCTCAAACTTAAACCCGAGACTAGGTGTCGATTTCAGCAGTCCCCGAAAAAGTATTGATAATGAGGGCTCTAGAATAAAGAATAAAGGACATTAAAAGTTAGCCCAAATCGATGCCGAGTGAAGGGCAAGTCAAAGGCTCCCAAACGGCCTCCACTTGCCAATCGAAAGCACGGGGGCCTGCCTGAATTGCAGAACAGAGGGTCAGTGTAGAGGCCTTAATAATTGGAATAGGGTTTTGGGCTCCTTGTTAGTATATCTATAATAGGGAACGACCAGAATAGTATAGGTAATTACTGACTGGCCCAAAACCCAAGGAGATAAAAGTTGAAACTTTCAAAATCGACTACCTTATAAGAACCCCAAAAGTTGAAAAGTTGAGTTTACAGCCAATAAGATTATCAAGGCCCTTATAGCAGTGGTGTAAGGCCGGAATTGCAGAACAGAAGCCTGGGTCCCCACTAGCCCAGAAGTAAAAGGGATCCCCTTTTTTGGTATTGGGGTTTGGGGTTTGGGGTTTGGGGTTTAGGGTTTAGGGTTTAGCGTTTAGGGTTTAGGGTTTAGGGTTTAGGGTAGTTGTACCAGGAACCTAAAAACACGAAAATGGAAAAAGGGCCCACTGAGAGACCTAGGTCTTGCTTATTAGTGAACAGATGGTTTTGATAAAAGCAAGCATGTATTATACAGATACGTACTTCTCTACTTGTCTAATTGCCTGTTTATCTTTTATTTCCAATAGTACGCTAACATCAAGCATATTCTAGTTCAAGACAACTGTGTCAGCATGCACCACATATACAGGCACTGTCAAAAGGGTGTGTATGTGTGTGCGCGTGTGCGTGTGTGTGTATGTGTGTATGTGTGCGTGCGCGTGGGGATAGCCTGACATAAGTTGCGACACCACCGACCCAACAGAAGCACCAACAGTCACCTCAACCCCCGTAGTTGAATCCGTACACCCTAAACCCTAAACCCAAAACCCTCCAAACACCAAGCCAAGCACCCAAAACTCAAAGCAGCTTGAACTCAGACGCGCGCCTCAAACGGCTCGCGCCAGGAGCGGTCAAAGTGCAGGAGCCAGGAGCTTGGTAGTTTGTGGTTGACAGTTTCAGGTTCCTATTCTGGAGTTTAGGGTTGGGGTTTAGGGCTTAGGGGTTTAGGGCTTAGGCTTGAAGGTTAGCTCGGCCAGCCTAACCAACGCAATCTGTTCAAGGAGATCACAATGTGACGGATGTGAAGTAGCTACCGCGACGAAACCGCATGCTGGACATAAGCCAGAGGCATGATTGATATCTTTGGCTTACTCATGTCAGTCTGTTGAAGTACACTCGCCCCCTCCCCCTCCCCAGGATTTAAGGTATGCAAAATATATAAATTATGTAACTCGGGCCAATAATAAATAATTTGAATACGGAGGCCTCCCCCCATACTTACATTTTTCATTTCATTCCGGGGGTCCGGGATTCCCCGGGATCCCCCTCCCCAGGACTGAAACTATTGTAATTATCTTATTTATTTAATTTGGGCCAAGGCCAAGAATTTACAAAATTTAAATCC